AAATTAAAAAGCACATGGAAGCCAATGAAAATGATAACAGGACAGGCCAAAACCTCTGGGATGCAGCAAAGGTGGTCATAAGAGGGAAGTATATGGCAATCCAGAAATTCCTAAAGAAGAAAGGCCTCAGATATACAACCTAACCTTAAAACTTAAAGAGCTGGGAAAAGAACATTAAATAAAACCCCAAACAAGGAGAAGATGGAATATAATAAAGATTAGAGCACAAATCAATGCTATAGGGAAACAAACAAACAAACAGTAGAACAGATCGATGAACCCAGGAGCTGGTTCTTGGAAAGAATTAACAAAACTGATAAATACCTAGTCAGTTAAAAAACAAAACAAAACAAAAAAGGTAAAGGACCAAAATAAATAAAGTCAAGAATGAAAGAGGATAGATCACAAAAAACACTGCAGAAATATGAACAATAATAAGAGACTATTATGAGCAATTATATACCAATAAATTGGGCAATCTGGAAGAAATGGACAAATTCCCAGAAACATATAAACTATTAAAACTAAAACATGAAGAAATAGAAATTTTGAACAGACTCATAACCAGTAAAGAAATTGAATTAGTAATTTAAAAAAATCTCCCAAAAAAACAAAAGTTAGGGATGGATAGCTTTTCAGGGGAATTCTACTTTTATTTTTTATTTTATTATTATTATTTTTTACAAATAGTTTATTGTCAAGTTGGTTTCCATATAACACCCAGTGCTCATCCCCACAAGTGCCCTCCTCCATGCCCATCTCCTCCCTCCCCCCTACACCCATCAGTCCTCAGTTTGTTCTCAGCATTCAAGAGTCTCTCATGGTTTGCCTCTCTCCCTTTCCCCCACTATTTCCCCCCTTCTTCTCCCCCATGGTCCTCCTTTAAGTTCCTCCTAATCCTCCTATATGTGCAAACATATGTTATTTGTCCTTCTCTGCCTGACTTATTTCACTCAGCATAACACCCTCAAGGTCCATCCATGTTGCTACACATGGCCAGATTTCATTCTTTCTCATTGCCATGGAGTATTCCATGGTATAGATAAACCACATCTTCTTGATCCATTCGTCCGTTGATGGACACTTAGGCTCTTTCCATGTTTTGGCTATTGTTGAGAGTGCTGCTATGAACATTGGGGTGCATGTGCTCCTATGCCTCGGCATTTCTATATCCCTTGGGTAAATTCCTAGCAGTGCTATTGCTGGGTCATAGGGTAGTTCTATTGTTAATTTTTTGAGGAACCCCCACACTATTTTCCAGAGGGGCTGCACCAGTTTACATTCCCACCAACAAGTGCAGGAGGGTGCCCGTTTCTCCACATCCTCGCCAGCATCTAGAGTTCTCTGATTTGCTCATTTTAGCCACTCTGACTGGTGTGAGGTGGTATCTCAGTGTCGTTTTGATTTGTATTTCCCTGATGAGGAGGGATGCTGAGCATCGTTTCATCTGGATGTCCTCTTTGGAGAAGTGTCTGTTCATATCTTCTGCCCATTTCTTTACTGGGTTGTTTTTTTTTTTGGGGGGGTGTGGAGTTTGGTGAGTTCCTTATAGATTCTGGATATCAACCCTTTATCTGATATGTCATTTGCAACTATCTTTTCCCATTCTGTTGGTTGCCTATTAGTTTTGTGGGTTGTTTCCTTTGCCATGCAAGGGGAATTCTACTTTTAAAGAAGAGTTCATGTCTATTTTCTTGAAGCTGTTCCAAAAAATAGAAATGGAAGGAAAACTTGTAAACTCATTCAATGAGGCCAGCATTACCTTGATTCCAAAACGAGACATGGGCCCCACTAAAAAGGAGATGTATACACCAATTTCCCTGATGAACATGGATGCAAAAATTCTCAACAAGATACTAGCCAACAAAGTCTAATAATACATTACAATAATACTTCACCATGATCAATTAGGAGTCATACCTGGGATGCATGGCTGGTTCAATACCCACAAATCAATCAATGTGATACATCACATTAAAAGAAAGGACAAGAATCACATGACCCTTTCAATAGATGCAGAGAAAGCATTTAACAAAACACATCATCCTTTCTTGATAAAAACCCTCAAGAAAGTAGGGATAGAAAGATCACATTTCAATATCCTATAAGCCATATATGAAAGACCTACTGCTAAAATCATCCTCAATGGGGGAAAACTGATAGGTTTCCCCCTAAGGTAAGGAACATGTCAGGGATGTCCACTCTCACCACTGTTATTCAACATAGTATTAGAAGTCCTAACCTCAGCAATCAGACAACACAAGGAAATAGAAAGGCATCCAAATTGGCAAGAAGGAAGTCAAACTTCCACTCTTTGCAGATGACATGATAACTTTACATGGACAACCCAGTAGATTCCACCAAAACTTCTAGAACTGATCCATGAATTCAGCAAAGTTGCAGGATATAAAATCAACGCACAGAAATCAGTTGCATATTGGGGCACCTGGGTGGCTTAGTCAGTTAAGCGTCCGACTTTCGCTTAGGTCATGATCTCACGGTTCGTGGGTTCAAGCCCCGCGTCGGGCTCTGTGCTGACTGCCAGCTCAGAGCCTGGAGCCTGTTTCAGTCTGTGACTCCCTCTCTCTCTAACCCTCCCCTGCTCACGCTGTCTCTCTCTCTCTCTCTCCTAGAAATAAAAATATTTAAAAAAAAGAAAGAAATCAGTTGCATATCTATACACCAATAATGAAGCAGCAGAAAGAGAAATTAAGGAATCGATCCCATTTACAATTGCACCAAAAACCATAAAATACCTAGCAATAAACCTAATCAAAGAGGTAAAAAAAAAATCTATACAGGGGCGCCTGGGTGGCTCAGTCGGTTAAGCGTCCGACTTTCGCTGAGGTCATGATCTGGCGGTTCGTGGGTTTGAGCCCCGCGTCGGGCTCTGTGCTGGCTGCCAGCTCAGAGCCTGGAGCCTATTTCGGAGTCTGTGATTCCCTCTCTCTCTCTGACCCTCCCCTGCTCACGCTGTCTCTCTCTCTCTCCTAGAAATAAAACAGTAAAAAAAAAATTAAAAAAAAAAAAGAAATAAAACATTAAAAATTTTTTAAAAAAAGAAAGAAATGAACTAGCGAAGTTATGGTGTGAAAAGACAGATGGTCTTTTTCAGGTAGAGGAAATTAACATGCTCAAAGGTCCTGAGATACATGGCATTTGGGGAAACAATGCACAGAGGAGTAAAGTAATATAAGGCTTGAAAAGATAGGGGTGAGATCATGCATTCTTGTGGACCATGTTAAGGACTTTTGCTTTACCTCAGGGCAATCAAAAGCATCAAATTATGTTAATCTGACGAATATGTTTGGAACTGCTTTTTAAATACTAGGCTAACTTCTGAAGATTTGGAGAAATGGATGTGGTTAAGTAGAGCAGGATTCCAGGTAAAAAATAATCGTTTGGACAAGATTACTAGATGAGATTAAACAGACACATGTCAATCTCAACATATCCCCAAGCAAATCCATTTCTTCTCTTCTAAATGTTTATTTTCCTATTTTCATCATTTTGTGTGAAATAAAATGATTAGCCAAAAGATCTGGGCAAGTCATATAAACGGAAGTTGAAATCATGAGAGTGGATAACATAGTCGTAGAGGAGGTTTGTTTTAAGAAATTAACTTCTGTTAACGTTTCACCCGTGCAAGAAACCTAGCTCTTCCTTCTCTCCTATCATATCCCATTTGTTAGTAGGTCCCTTAGATTCTTCCTTCAAATTATTTCTTGAGGGGAGCCTGGCTGCCTCAGTCCATTGAGCATGTGGCTCTTATATCAGGGTCGTGAGTTTAAGCCCCATGTTTGGCATAAGCCCCACGTCTGGCAAAAAACTTACTGTAAAAAGTTTCTTGCATCAGTTTTCCCTAATTCTCATGCGCTAGATCAGATCACTATCCCCAGAACACATAGAATTATTGCTTTTGTTGGCCATCCTGGCTCAAAACTTCTTTCCCTTCAATTCATCCTTACCACTAGGCACTAGAATGCAAATATGGTTATTATACCATTCCGTAAATTTCTTCGGTGTCTTCTCATTGCAAAATATGCAAGCTCCCCCACACTTTGCTTACTTTTTCAGTCTCATTTCTTTTCTTACCACTTCTCCGTTGCCCTCTTTTAACCGTGCCAGTGAACTGTAAAAATAGGTACTTTTTTAAAGGAAGGCTTAACGCCCAGCGCCGGGGCCCAGTGTGGGGCTTGAACTCACCACCCTGAGATCAAGACCTGAGCTGAGATCCAGAATCTCACACTTAATGGACTGAGCCACCCAGGCAGGTTTCCACCATCCCTGCAAAATAATTTTTTATGAAAGTATAGTTGACACACAATGTTAGTTTAAAGTGTATAACACAGTGATTCACCAACTCTATATATTCAAGTGTAGCTGTGTGTCACCATCCAACCTCATTTAAATACCACTGACTATATTTCCTATATTGTACCTTTTATTCCCATGACTTCTTCAATAACTGTGAATGTGTGACTCCCACTTCCCCACCCTCTCCCTCTGCAACTATCAGCCGTGGAGTTTTTTCTTCCTATTATCCTTTTTTTTTTTTAAATAATGGACTGCCTTTCTTTCTTGCCTTTAATCTTGCATAAACTACTCCCTTCACCAGGATCAATGCTCCCTGATTCAGTGGGCCGACTCTTTCAGTGTCTAGTTCCTCTTCCCGCCTCCCTCCCCATGGGGCGCTGAGCTCTGTAAGAGCAGGGCGGTGTCTGGCTTGCGCCCCAAAAGCGTCCCTGCGCGCCCACGACAGCACCCTGCACCACGCAGGAAGGAGGAGCCGCTGGCCGCCCTGGCGGTCCAGCCATTCCAGCTCTTCTTTCCGAGGGGCGTCGGGGCGGGTCAGAAGCTGGGAGGCGGAGCCGGGCCTCCGCGGGGCTGCGTTCTCCCGTCACGGCCGACAGCCGCAGCGCGCAGGCGCGGCCGAAGGGGGCCGTCGCTGTCCCGGACGCGAGAGTCTCAGAATCGCAGTCCTTCACGCGGGATTCCCGCTTACGACAGCCGCCGACGCCGGTGACTCGTCACGGAAGTTCTGGGGGCCGTGGTCGGCTCTGGGTTTGGTAGTTGTCTGCGCGTGGGGTCTTGGTCTCAGGCTCTGGACATGAGGCATTATGGGAGTCGTAGTTGACGCCAGCGGCATTTGTTTTGGGGCATCCTGGGAGTTGTAGTGTGCGGGCGGCAGGGTAGTTATCCTGGCAAGTGTAGTCGTCCCGGAGCCCCTGGGCCTGGCGCCGTGTGCGCCGGTACGTGGTATTCTGGAAGCGGTAGTGCGTGGGGGGAGCTCCGAGGCCCGCGGGCTCTGGCGCCGGGTACCAGGCGTGGCGCGTTCGGGCACGAGTCGTGAGTGCGGGGAGCGCCTCCGGCCCGACCCGGAGGCCGCGGTGGGTCCTGGGAAGTGTAGTCGTCCGCTGCCCGACCTGACGGGGATCTGGTGTCTGAGGCTCCGGCCGCCAGAGTCCCTGGACGCGGATCCGAAAGTCCGGCTCGCACTGGGCCCGAGGTACCTAAAGCTGCCCCTCTGCCCGAGAGCCCCTCAGGGTGGCCCGGGCCGAAGACCACCTGGGGATCGAGAACGCCCTGTCCCCGGAGCCAAAGGCGCAGAGAAAACGCGCCGCCCTGGGACCCCCCCCCCCCCCCCCCCCCCCCCCCCCCCCGCTTACAGGAGGCGGCACCGGGATGCGGGTCAGGTCTCGGCCCCCCGGACCCCACGCCGTGGCCGGGAGGGACTCTCCTTGGCGGCCCCGGCCTTCTGGGTGACGAGGGCGGGTGGGCGCGCGGTCGTGCGGCGCTGGGGCGCGGCTGCTCCGGGACGGCCCGCGCGCTCAGGGTCGCCTTCTCGCCCTGCCAGCTCCGCCGCTCCCCGCTGGGCTCCCCGGTGCTGCCGCGAGCCATGTCTCAGGTGAGCCGCTCCCTCCCCTTCCCAGGGCGTCTGTGTGTTTCAGGACCTGGGGACCGAGGCCTGCTTGCTTCCGAAACGTCCTGCCCTGGTCCTCCGCTTGGCACCTGGACCTGAGGGGGCGTGGGCGGGTTTCTGACCTGGCGGAAGGTCGGTAGGCGGGGGCGGGGGGGGGGTGTTAAGTGACTTCCTCCTTTTCCCAGTATTAGAATGAGAAGTGCGTTACTCTCTCCATGGCTCCAGCTCCCCCTTTCTCAATCGTTTATATTAAGCTTTATTTATTTTTGAGAGAAGGAGAGAGGGAATCCCAAGCAGGCTCCTCGATGTCAGCCCAGAGCCGGAAGCGAGGCTCCATCCGGGGAGTGGACATCCTGACCTGAGCCAAAATCAAGAGTCAGACCTTAACTGGCCGAGCCACCCACGTGCCCCAGCCATATTTCAATTAAGCATGTGCTTTTAGCAGCTGTGCCAGTGGTCTCAAAATGGAACTCCTGGACCAGTAGTATCTGCATCACCTGAGAACTTACTAGAAATGTATATTCATGAGCTGCATCCCATACTTTCTCAACCAGAAACTCTGGGTGTGCAGTTCAACAGTCACTTCCAAGTGACTCTGACGCGTGACCCACCCTGGGTGGGTCAAACAAAATCTCTGGCGGTTGTTTCCCAGAGGTGGGGGTGAGAAGGCCAACCGTTTGATTTAGTTCCTTTGTTTTTAGTTCTACTTCTCTGTCCTACTTTGTGTCATACTTGCCTTCAAATCCAGGTGCTTCCCCGAATTTGCTGGGGAGTCCGCTTTCCTTCTGTGCTACAGATTCCGTTGTTTAGAAAATAGCTTCCTTTATTGGTCAATAACCTTTGTCACTTAAAACAATTTTTTTAACCATAAAATATAATTGCCACACATCTGGGGCTCTTACTAGTTTGGGCCCTTTTAAAATTTCTGCTCCTGCTTAATGGTTTTGTGGATTACTGAAGTGGTGCAAAGGCAGGCTGCGAAGCGGGGGCTCGTTATTACTCCCAACTCTGAGGGAAAAGCTTTTGGTTCCATTCTGGGAGGTGTTACAGGTCCTCCTTGCGTACTCTCTATGCTTTACTGCTGATCCTCCTTGGTCTGTGCCACTGCTTATATCGCCCTTAAGTTTCATAGCCCTTTCTTCTGGAATGGGGGGAACTGTGATGCACTTGAGTGGATGCCCCCCCTTTTTTAAATAGTTTATTGTCAAGTTGGTTTCCATATAACACCCGGTGCTCATCCCCACAAGTGCCCTCCTCCATGCGCATCCCTCCCACCCCTCCTCTCACCCCCATAGCCCTCATTTTGTTCTCGTCATTCAGGAGTCTCTCGTGGTTTGCCTCCCTCCCTCTCCCCCACTATTTTTCCCCGTCTTCTCCCCCACGGTCCTCCGTTAAGTTCCTCCTAATCCTCTATACGTGCAAACATATGGTATCTGTCCTTCTCTGCCTGACTTATTTCACTCAGCACAACACCCTCAAGGTCCATCCATGTTGCTACACATGGCCAGATTTCATTCTTTCTCATTGCCATGGAGTATTCCATGGTATAGATGAACCACATCTTCTTGATCCATTCGTCCGTTGATGGACACTTAGGCTCTTTCCATGATTTGGCTATTGTTGAGAGTGCTGCTATGAACATTGGGGTCCGTGTGCCCCTATGCATCAGCACTCCTGTGTCCCTTGGGTAAATTCCTAGCAGTGCTATTGCTGGGTCCTAGGGGAGCTCTATTGTTAATTTTTTGAGGAACCCCCACACTGTGTTCCAGAGGGGCTGCACCAGTTTACATTCCCACCAACAGTGTAGGAGGGTGTCCGTTTCCCCACATCCTCGCCAGCATCTAGAGTCCTCTGATTTGCTCATTTTAGCCACTCTGACTGGTGTGAGGTGGTATCTCAGTGTGGTTTTGATTTGTATTTCCCTGATGAGGAGGGATGCTGAGCATTGTTTCATGTGTCTGTTGGCCATCAGGATGTCCTCTTTGGAGAAATGTCTGTTCATATCTTTGAGTGCATGATCCTTTTTAAAGGTACTTCTGCTGTCTGCTGTAGCCAGTTGTTACCGTGAAGAAATTCTTGCCAGATCTTATTAAAATAGGTTGCTGTTAATATATACATTGCGTATTGAATACAAATGGATTGTTTTCACTATTCATTAAGTGTTCTAAGATTCTAAGAACTTTTACAGCAAAAGTCAGAAATCCATGTTGTTCACATGTATAATCCTTTATCTTGACAAAATTGTAAGTTATCTCAGGACAAACTGCATTCATTTTTTTCTCCTTTTCTGCAATTATGCAATAAAACAAAACAGCTAGGGTCTTATTTTACTCTTACTAATTAGAATTCTAGAACCCCCATTGCCACTGCGTGCATACGCTGTCTGCTCTCCACAGTGAGACTCCTTTCACTCCTTTCACTCACTTCAGGGCCTTTGGGACCGTGGGTGCTGGTTGCGTAGACACCTGTATGTCATTTTAGGGGTCAGTGACATTCAGAGATGTGGCCGTAGACTTCTCCCAGGAGGAGTGGGAATGGCTTCAGCCTGCTCAGAGAGATTTGTACAGACATGTGATGTTGGAGAACTACAGCCACTTGGTCTCACTGGGTAAGTGTATTCCTCCTTATCTCCTCTAAGTCAGAATTGGAACTTGGGATGGCTGTTGTAAGTCTTGGTTTTCTGACTTAATATTCCCAAGGGAGGTATGTTAGTTTTTTTGTTTGTTTTTTACATTGATTGATTGATTGATTGATTCATTCATTCATTATTTTAGAGGGAGAGGGAGCACATGAGTGGCGGAGGGACAGAGGGAGAAGGAGGGAAAGAATCTTAAGCAGGCTTCCTGTTCAGCTAGGAGCCTGATGCAGGGCTTGATCCCACAACCCTGGGATCACGACCTGAACCGAAATCAAGAATTGGATGCTCACCTGACTGAGCCACCCAGGTGCCCATCTTTTAACTTTTTAAGATGGATTATAACCACCTAATTCTTAGCTCTCATATTTACATCTGGTATTTCTTTTCTTTTTTGAAAGACTTTACTTTTTTATTTCTTAACATTTATTTATATTGAGAAAAAGAGCAGATGAGCGAGGGAAGGGCAGAGAGAGAGGGAGAAAGAGAATCCCAAGAAGGATCCAGCGCAGAGCCTGACACGGACGGGTAACTGACTGAGCCACCTACATGCCCCTAAAGATTTTATTTTTAAGTAATCTCTGCACTCAGAGTGGGGGTCAAACTCACAACCCTAAGATCAAGAGTTGCATGCTCTACCAACTGAGCCAGCCAGGTGCACTTACATCTAGCATTTCTTTAAAAAAAAATTTTTTTTTTAAATATTTATTTATTTTTGAGAGAGAGAGCATGAGCAAGCATGAGCAGGGAAGGGGCAGAGAGAGAGAGGGAGACACAGAATTTGAAGCAGGTTCCAATCTCTGAGCTACCAGCACAGAGCCTGACGCCGGGCTTGAACACACAAACCATGAGATCATGACCTGAGCTGAAGTCAGACGCTTAACTGACTGAGCCACCCAGTTGCCCCTGGCATTTCTTTTAATGGCCCCTCTTCTAGGGACTCAAGGACTGATTTTGAATTAATTTCATTTTCTGCAAGCAGGTCTTAACATTTCTAAGCCATATGTGGTTTCCTTATTGGAGCAAGGGAAAGAGCCCTGGCTGGAGAAAGGAGATGTGAGAAGAGATCTGTTTTTGGGTGAGTAAGATAATAATAACCCAACTAATCAATGAGAAAGCAGTACTATTTTGTATGTTGGTTGGAACATGAGATATGGAGACTGTGAAGTCTTGCCTTCAGCTCCACAAGAACTGTGTTCACACCCACTCACCAGCCTGCCTTTAGTTCTCGTCTTACTCTTTCTCCTCTTTCTCACAAGTAGATGTGTGCTCTCTCTCCATCGTTAGCTCTGTCTGGGCTCTGGATTTCATTTCTTTTTGATTTTTCCTCCTTTCCTTTCTTGAAATTGACCTATATCTCTGTTGCCTAAATTAAAAGGTATATATTTTTTTCTGTGTACTGCTGTTCTAGTTAGTCACCTTGGAAAGACTGATTCGTTACTTTTTGGTTACTTGATGCCTTTATTCATTCACTTGTACATCCTCTTAATGTTTATTTAAAAGAGTTTCTCTTAGGTTCTGCAGAGAGTAGAAAATATAAAAAAGTATAATAACCACGAAAGAAGTTATCGTCTAGTGAGATAAAAATAGGTGTGTAAATAATTTCATGAGATGTCCTCAGATTGTCAGTTCAGCAAAGGAAAAAGGAATTCCCATTTGGTGTTTAGGCCTAGGTGATTTGGACAGAGATAGTAGTGATAGGGCAGGAAAAGGATCAGTTTTGGAGAAAAAGTGTTGAGTTAGTTATGAGATGTGCTTGGTGTGAGTAGAGGATGATATTTCCCGGAGAAGAGATGCAGTAGGCTATTGGAATAGATCACAGAAAACAGTTCAAGTTAGAGCTGTAGATGTGGCAATCGTAATATTATGAAGCAAAAATTGAAGCCATGAGATTGAGAGGTGCCTGAAAACCATCACCTTAAGTTGACGATAGGATTGCTGGTGAAGCTCTTTAAAAATAAGTGGCCATGCCCTACCCTGGAAGATTCTGTGGAAAATAGACTAGAGGATCTATGGAACCTAAATTCTGTATTCATGAAGAGTTCTGTCAGTTCCTAAATGAACCTCTCATGGAGGTACACTGACCTTCCACTGAGGCGGCAGGAGTCTGCTTCCATGTGCAGGAAGCAGCAGCTTGGAAGGGCTGAGGAGGGAACGGGAGCCGGTGTCAGGAACACTGAGCTGCGTCTGTAAGGAGAGTGGTGCCTAACCGCATATGCCACAGACTTTCCGAAGCGTGTAGAAGGTGTTGATGTGGGCTGAAGTCGTGAGTCGAGCAAGTGCAGGGAGAGTTCTTCATTTAGGTGTGAGTTGAAGAACAGTGTCTTCTTGTAAATGTTGTAAAAATAATAAAACCAGTAAAACTGTGTACAAGGGAGGTGAAGGGCAAATGTATAAAAATTGCCGCTAATTCCACTACTTCTTTCCTCCCACCCACCCTCCCTCCTTACCATCTATCACTGTGCCCAATGTGGGGCTTGAACTCACAGCCTCAAGATCGAGAGTCTCATGCTCTACCAAGGGGCCAAGTGCCCCTCCGTTACTTTATTTTTATTTATTTTTTTAAATCTTTATTTATTTTTGAGATAGAGACAGTGTGAGCAGGGGAGAGGCAGACACAGAATCCGAAGCAGGCTCCAGACTCTGAGCTGTCAGCACAGAGCCTGGCGCGGGGCTTGAACCCACTAACCATGAGATCATGACCTGAGCCGAAGTCGGACGCTTGACCGACTGAGCCACCCAGGCGCCCCACCCTTCTGTTACTTTAATACAGCTTGTCCAGGGCTCATCATTTGTCCAGGGGGCCATGGATAAGGATGTATTTGACCCCATGGACGTTTGGGATGAGCTGCTTTTCAGCCATCATGTCTTCAAATTCTTGTGTATTAGAGTTAGTAAAGCACTACTTGGAGATGTGGATCTTCTGGCAGCCAGGGAACTTGAACTTGGCCCTGTGTAGGTGCCAATCACCTGCTCCTTATTCTGTAGCTTCGTATAGATGGACATGATTTGGTCTATGTGGACCCTGGCCATTGTGCCCTGGGGCTTTTCAGAGATTCCCACCCCCCACGTACCTGGTTGGAGCCAGATTGGGGATAGCATGAGGTCAGACGTGAATGTCCACTGGAAGGGGCTGTCTCCGGGGTCCTCTACGGCAACCCACAGAAGCAACAGGCTGCATATACTACTAGGAGGCTGCTGTCTGCAGCCACTGCACACCAGGCCCCCGTAGGGACAGAGCACGGTTGGCTTAGTTGGCTGCAGTCCAGTATGTTTTTGAAAGGTTAAATATCACACAGAAATAATGCATAAAACATAAGTGTTCAGCTTAACCAATTATTAAGACACCCACGTAACCACCACTCAGGTCAGTAAATAGAACACCGCCAGGTCCCTAAGAGCCCAACGCAGGGCCCGAACCCACGAGCTGTGAGATCATGACCTGAGCCGAAGTTGGACACTCAACCAAACTGAGCCACCCAGGCACCCCAGTAGTCTTCTCTTTAATGGAGTAACTTACTTTGTTTTCTTTATAGCTTTGTCAACCGTTTGTATCTGTAATCACTGTAGTTTAGGTTTGTATGTGTGTGAACTTCACATAGAGTGGTTCATAATGTATATATTGTGATTTGCATCTCAAAAATACTTTTAAGATTTATGCATTTTGCATTATTACTCTAAAGGTTGTTTCATTGTACAGCTAAGCCCTCCCCTATTTATTCTATTACTGAGGTCTTCTTGGGTTGTTTGCATTTTAGGGCTGTCGCAAGCAGTGTTACCATTGTCCCTGTAACCTGGCACAGGTTTCCTGGGGTGACTTTTAAGGCTGGAATCTCTGGGTCAGAGGACAGTGACCCTCTTTCACATCATTAGATACTGCCAATACTGCCAAAATGTTTTCCAAAGTGCTTTTACTGATTTACATTCTCACAAACACCGTAAGTGGGTTCCTCTTGCTCCCCAAATTTACCAGTGCCCAAAACTGTTAGGCACCGTAATATTCAAGTCTCAGAAGAGTGTGCAGAGGTAGCTTATTGTGGTTAAAGCTTGCATTTGTCTGTGCCCCAGACAAATAGTGGTGAGTATCTCCGCCTGTGGTAAACTTGCATTTCTCTGAGTACTAATGTGGTTGAGCACCGTTCTGTGTGTTTCTTGGATATTTAAATACCCTTATTTGGGAAGTGCCTCTTGAAGGTTTTTGCTCATGTATTGGAGTCTTATTGATTTGTAGGAGTTATATATTTCAGATTCATATTCTTTGCTAATTATTGTTACTGCAAGTATCTTCTCTCACATGTGGCATACTTTCCCCCCTTAATAACCTTATTCTTTCCCCCTTAATAACCTTTTTTGAAGAGTGGAAATTTTTTATTTTACTGTGGTCAGATTTACTCATCTTTCCTTTTATGGTTGGGCTGTTTAATAAATTGTTCCTTACCATGAGGTCATAATGAAGACATTTTCCTACATTTTCTCTTAAAAAGCGTAGTCATTTTGCCATTCACATTTAGACCCATAGCCTACTTTGAACTGATTTTTGTGTGTCATGTGAGTTACTCGTCTGTTTTTTTTTTTTTTTTATAATTTTTTTTTTAAATGTTTTATTTATTTCTAGGAGAGACAGAGAGAGACAGCGTGAGCAGGGGAGGGTCAGAGAGAGAGGGAGTCACAGAGCCCGACGCGGGGCCCGAACCCACAAACNTTTTTATAATTTTTTTTTTAAATGTTTTATTTATTTCTAGGAGAGACAGAGAGAGACAGCGTGAGCAGGGGAGGGTCAGAGAGAGAGGGAGTCACAGACTGAAACAGGCTCCAGGCTCTGAGCTGGCAGTGAGCACAGAGCCCGACGCGGGGCCCGAACCCACAAACCGCGAGATCATGACCTAAGCGAAAGTCGGATGCTTAACCGACTAAGCCACCCAGGCGCCCCTCGTCAGTTTTGACGTCATATACCGATATGTCTGTCCTTTCCTTGTGTTGTCTTGTTTGTCATAACTTAAATATCAGTTTTTGTGCATGTTTCTGGGTTCTCTGCTCTTAATTAAATGTCTCTTTTCCTATCCTTGCATATATCTATTCAGCCTTAGTCATGAATTAAATAATGGATAATATTTTATTGTGTTTGCCTTACCTCACCCCCCCCCCTTTTTTTTTTTTTTTGGCTGAATATAAAAGTTAATTACAGGGGCACTTGGGTTGCTCAGTCAGTTAAGCATCTGTCTCTTGATTTCGACTCAGGTCATGATGTCTACTTTTTAGGGTTCTTAGATAGCTGCTGTGTGCATTCTGTGCACAGCACTTACGTGCATTCAGTAGGAGAGACAGGTCAGAGTGCCCTAACTCCATCTTCACACGGCTGGAACCATTCGTCTTAGATTTTGTAAGTGAAAAAAAAGCCAAGTTACAGCCTGTAGAAAGACGATACTAATAAAAGGAAAACATGAAGCTCAGTCTAGATTGAACAGGAGTATAAAGTAAAGTAAAAGGAAGAAAATGGTGGAAATTAAGGATGGTTAGGGAGGCGCCTGGGTGGCTTAGTCGGTTAAGCGTCTGACTTCGGCTCAGGTCATGATCTCACGTTTCATGGGTTCGAGCCCCGCATCGGGCTCTGTTCTGATGGCTAGATCAGAGCCTGGAGCCTGTTTCAGATTCTGTATCTCTCTCTCTCTATGACCCTCCCCTGTTCACGCTGTGTCTCTCTCTCTCTCAGAAATAAATAAAAACATTTAAAAATTAAAAAAAAAAAAGGATGGTAGGGAAAACACTGGTCAGATCATGCAGGTGCTTTACAAGTCATGTTAATGAACCTAGAGTTCATCCCTATTAGGGAGTCATTAAAAGCTTTTAGGCCAGTGAGCATTTTTTCTTAGCTAAGGTTTGGAAAATAGATTTGTTGGAAGTAAGACGAGAAAACAGGGCTGTCGTTTAAGAGTTGTCGCCATAACCTCGGCTGGACATAATCATTACATGAAGTATGGAGGCATCCAGAGAAGGAGTGGAGGAATGCAGATTGGTAACAAACTAAGGAGGTGGACTCAAAACGACCTGGAGATTGACTAGTAAAAGACTTGAAGAAGACAGGAATTGCAGTTGACAGCACTCTTCTTGGTGTAAAAAAAAAAAAAAGTTTGAAGGGGAAAGATTGTCAGTTTGTGACTGAGTTTTGGATCTTTGTGGGATACTTGAGTATCGTAGTTCAGTAGGCAATTGAGTACAGTTCTGGAGCTTAAGAAAGAGATCACAGTGCTCAAATTCCAATCATTTTGAGAGTTTTAAAGTACATATTTCAGGCCCCACTCCAGAAATTCTAAGTCATTACATTTGGTGTGGAACCCAAGAATTGCATTGATTTTTTTTAAATATTTATTTATTTTTTGAGAGAGAAACAGAGTGCAAGCAGGGGAGGGGAAGAGAGAGAGGGAGATTGAAGCAAGCTCTAGGCTCTGAGCTATCAGCACAGAGCCTGACGCAGGGCTCAAACTCATGAACTGTGATATCATGACCTAAGCCAAAGTCGGATACTCAACTGACTGAGCCACCCAGCGCCCCAGAATTTGCATTTTTTAAGTTTATTTCCTTATTTTGAGAGAGGGAACATGTGAGATAGAGTTCCAGTGTGGGAGAGGCAGAGAGAGAGAATCCCAAGCAGGCTCCATGCTGACAGTGTCACAGGGTTCAATCTCAATGAACTGTGAGATCATGACGTGAGCTGAATTCAAGAGTTGGATGCTTAACTGACTAAGCCATGCAGGTGCCCCGAGAATTTGCATTTTTAAAATATTTATTTATTTTGAGAGAGAGAGAGAGAGAGACATACAGTGTGAGTAGGGGAGGGGTAGAGAGAGAGGGAGAGAGAGAATCCCAAGCAGGCTCCATACTGCCAGTGCAGAGCCCGATGTGGGGCTTGAACTCATGAAACCATGAGATCATGACCCTAGCCTTCACTGGCTGAGCCACCCAGGTGTCCCAAGAATTTGCATTTTTAACAGGCTCCTAGATGATGCTGATACTGAGCTAAAGTACACATTTAGGAGTTATTTGCACAGCTTCTTAAAATTTTGAATCTTCCGTGTAAACTCCCTATATACCCTGTTGTTGAATTTATTCTTAAGGAGCTTTACCTAGTTTCTTTTCTTACAAGTTATATTGCTGTTCTGTAGGAATGCTAGTGAATTTGTATATCTCTCAGTCTTTATTGTCGCAATAAAAATACCCTAAACCTTTCTTTCTTATACATACTGGAATGATTTTTTTTCAATTAATAAACTTCTTAAAAAGCAGTTTTAGGTTCACATCAAAATAGTGGAAAGTACAAAGAGTTCCTATATATAACCCCACCCCCACCACAACTTCTTGCACTGTGGACATCCCCTACCACAATCCCATATCACAATAGTGCATTTTTTACAACTGACAAAACTAGATTGACACATCATCGCACAAAGTCCATGGTTCACATTAGAGTTCACTCGTGGTGTTATATGTACATTCTGAGGGTTTTGACAAATGTATAATGAATGACATGCACCCACCATTTTAGTAGCACACAGAATACTTTTACTGTTCTAATAATCCTTCATGCTGTGTGTGTTCCTCTCTCTCCCTCTTCCCCCAACTCCTGGCAAGCACTGACCTTTTTATTATCTCCATGGTTTTGCATTTTCCAATATGTCAATAGTTGGAATCATACAGTAGTTAGGCTTTTCACATTGGCTTCTTTCAGTCAACATTGGGCATGTAAGTTTCCTTTATACCTTTTCATGGGTCAACAGCTTGTTTCTTTTGAGTGCTGAATAACATTCTATTGTCTGGATGAAGTACAGTTTACTTTTGCATTCTCCTACTGAAGGATATCTTGGTGGCTTCCAAGTTTTGCCAGTTATAAAGAAAACTGCTATAGATATTCATATGCAGGCTTGTGTGTGAACATGTTTTGAATTAATTTGGGTAGATACCAAAGAGTGCAATTGTTGAATCATGTGTAAGAGTATGTTTAGTTAGGAAACTGCCAAACCATTTTCCAAAGTGGTTCTACCATTTTGCATCCACACCAGCAATGAATGATAGTTCCAATAGGAAGCTTCACATCTTTGCTAGCATTTGATGTTGTTAGTGGAGTGGATTTTGGCCATTCTAATACGTGTGTAGTGGTATCTCATTTTAATTTAGAATTCTCTCACGACGTGATGTTGAGTATCTTTCCGTATTCTTACTTGCCACCTATACATCTTCTTTGGTGCAGTGTCTGTTCGGGTCTTTTGCCCAGTTTAAAAGTGTATTGTTCATTTTCTTGTTGAATTTTTTTTTTTTTAATATAATTCTGAGAGAGAGAGAGAGACACCGTGAGCAGGGTAGAGTCAGAGAGAGAGGGAGACACAGAATCTGAAACAGTCTCCAGGCTCTGAGCTAGCTGTCAGCACAGAGCCGACATGGGGCTCGAACCCTAGAACCATATCATGACCTGAGCCGAAGTCAGAGGCTTAACCGACTGAGCCACCCAGGCGCCCCCTTGTTGAGTTTTAAGATTTCTTTGTATATTTTGGATACTGGGTCTTAACAGACTTGTCTTTTGCACATATTTTATCCCAGTTTGTAGCCTGTCTTCTCAGTCTCTTGACACTGGCTTTTGCAGAGCATAAGTTTTTTATTTTAATGAAGTCCAGCTTACCAATTACTTTCACGGACAATGACTTTGGTTGTTGTTTCTAAAAAGCCATTGCCATGCCCAAGGCCATCTAGGTTTCCCCCTGTGTTATCTTCTAGGAGTTGTATAGTTTTGTGTTTTACATTTAGGTCCATGACCATTTTGAGTTAATTTTGGCCAAGAATGTAAGGTCTGTGTCTTAATTCATTTTTATGCATGTGGATGCATAGTCATTTCAGGACCCTTTGTTGAAAAGATGTCTTTGCTCCTTTGTCAAAGATCAGTTGACTGTAATTATTCTGGTCTATTTCTGAGCTCTCTACTCTGTTCCATTGATGTACTTGTCCACTCTTTCACCAGAACCACACTGTCTTCATTACTGTAAGTTTTGAGTAAGTGTTCAAGTTAGGTAGTGTCAGTCCTCTGACTTTGTTCTTTTTCTTTTTTAAAAATTTTTAAGCTTATTTATTTTTGAGAGAATGACTAGAGGAGGGGCAGAGAGAGAGGGAGACAAAGAATCTGAAGCAGGCTCCAGGCTCCGAGCTATCAGCTTAAGTGGGGCTCGAACTCCCAGACTGACATCGTGACCCGAGAGCTAAAGTCAGATGCTTAACTGACTGAGCCACCCACGCGCTCCTCTCTGACTTCGTTCTTTCCCTTCAGTACTCTGTTAGGTATTTTAGGTCTTTTGCTTCTCGATATAAACTTTAGAATCAGTTTGTTGAGACCTGTAAAAGTGCTTTCTGGGATTTCATTGAATCTATAGATCAAGTTGGTAAGAATTGACATCTTGACAATATTGAGGCTTCTTATGAACGTGGAATATTTCTGTCTCTCCATTTACCTCTTATTTCACATCTTTCATCAGAGTTTTGTAGTTTTCCTCATATAAATCTGACACATGTTTTATTGGGTTTATACCCAAGTATTTCATTTTTTGGTATGCTAACGTAAACAGTAATGTGGTCTCAGTTTCAACCTCCGTATGTTCATTGCTGGTATATGGGAAGGACTGACTTTTGTACGTTAACTTTATATCCTGCAATTTTGTTATAATTATTCCAGTTTTTTCTTAGTTTTTTTCAGAATCTCTGCATAGATAATACTGTCATCTGCCAATAAAAAGGTTTATTTCTTCCTTTCTATATACCAATCTATATACCTTTTTTTTAAATGTTTTATTTATTTCTAGGAGAGAGAGAGAGACAGCGTGAGCAGGGGAGGGTCAGAGAGAGGGAGTCACAGACTGAAACAGGCTCCAGGTTCCGAGCTGGCAGTCAGCACAGAGCCCAACGCAGGGCTCAAACCCACGAACCGCGAGATCATGACCTAAGCGAAAGTCGGACGCTCAACCGACTAAGCCACCCAGGCGCCCCTATACCTTTTATTTACTTTTCATGTCTTTCTGTATTAGCTAGGAATTCCATCATGGCATTGAAAAGCAGTGCTGAGAAGGGACAACCTTCCTGTGTTCTGATTTAGCAGGAAACCTTCAGATTTCTCACCATTATGATGTTAGCTGTATGTGTTTTGATGTTCTTTACAACTTGAGGATATTCCACTCTATTCTAGTTTGTTGAGCTTTTTTCATGAATGGGTGTTGGATCTTGCAAGCCATGGCTGCTGATAGCATGTTTCCTCTGTTTTTGTCTCAGAAAGTATTTCTCCTTCATCTTTGAAGTATAATTTTGTAGGGTACACAGTTCTAGGTTGATGGATTTTTTTCTCTCAACATCATATTACATGAAGTACTTACTCAATGATTTTAGGTAACACTGGTGATAGAGGGTATTTGGGTTTTTTTCATAAGAGGAGAGTGAGTGCATCTATAATTTTTCCTTTGAGAGTATTAAGTTGCTGATTTATCATAGGAACCCTTCGTTACATTAAGAATGAATCTTTGGGGGCACCTGGGTGGCTCAGTCGGTTGGGCGTCCAACTTTGGCTCAGGTCTTGATCTCACGGTCTGTGAGTTCGAGCCCCGCATCAGGCTCTGTGCTGACCGCTTAGAGCCTGCTGCCTGCTTCAGATTCTGTGTCTCCTTTCTCTCCATGCACCTCTCCTGCTCACGCTCTGTCTCTCTCAAAAATAAATAATAACATTAAAAAAAGAATGAATCTTTGCATCCCTTTAGGCTTTTAATAAGTGTAAGTGCTAGGTTATATCACATCCATTTGGCATTTACCAGAAAGCATATGGGCATAGTAGGCGATGGGAGAAAGCGAGGTGATATCAAGTGAAGGAAGAGGGGGTGAGGAAGGTATAGTTAACATTCTATTTATATCTTGTGCCTAATTTTCTTGGTTGTGCTTTTGACTCTTATTGGTAGGCAGAACCATATGGCAGATAATATACTAAATCTGTGCAGTTAACACCAGTGGCTTTTTCTAATATGAAATATCGAGGTTCACTGACTTATGTCATAATGTATTTCAGTTCCCAACTAATTTGCTCATTGAAGCCTTCCCTTTCTAAGTGAAGCCTTTCTTTATGTGTTGCCGTGGATTTTTATATCTTGTTTCTGATTTTTTGTACAGTTTTTACTCTTAACTGTAGTGAACTTTTGTTTCTTATATCATTAATTGTTTTCTTTTGTGTCCTCTTTATCTCCCTATTTATTGTCTCCGCTTATGAAAAGAATTACTCGGTTTATATCCCCAGGGTTTACTAAGGTGCTCAGTAGATGTGGAATTGGTTTATAGAGGAGCCTGGAAAGTAATGTTAAGATTTTCCCTTTATTGGGGCACCTGGGTGGCTCAGTCGGTTAAGCTTTCGACTTCGGCACAGGTCACGATCTCACGATTCATGGGTTCAAGCCCTGCATCTGACAACTTACAGCCTGGAGCCTGCTTCAGATTCTGTATCTCCCTTTCTCTTTGCGCCCCCCCCCCCCCTTTGTGCTCTCACTCTCTCTCTCTCTCAAAAAGGAATAACCATTAAAAAATATTTTGTCTTTATTGAGATCATTTTCATAAATGTTATTTCATGGTCTCCTTTATTCTAATCTTTAATTTTTATATGCCTACCCTATAACTATAGATCTCGATTCTTTGTTCAGATATGTATTAAAGAAACAGCTCTATTTATATTTCTAGAAACTTATGGTCAGTGATAATAAAAGATAGCACCCACTCAAACAAAATAAATGTCAAAGTGTGTTTTAGAGAAAAATGAATTTTTAAATGTTTTTGGAAATAATTTTAAACTTCCAGAAAGCATGCAAGAATAGTATAAAAAAATCCATAAGCTCATTACTCAAATTTACCTACTACTCACATTTTACCTCATTTGTTCTATCATTTGGTATATGATTTTTTTCTTGAAACGTCTGAGAATAAGTTGCATACATCATGGCCTTTTAGTCATACTTCCTACATACTTCCTAAGAATTAGGATATGAGTGAATATATTTTTTAAAAAGTCTTCATATTATAGTTTTTGGTCCCTTCAAAATGATAAACTTAGCCTGGAGAAAATCAGGGCCCATGTTTGTTTATCAAAAGCATCTGATGGAAAGACACTGTGATACCAGAGTTGAACTTCAGTTGTTAGTTGGGAGAGTAGATTTAGAGTGGGGACCACAGACAGCCGTTGTCAGAGGTACATTTTACTTATCTGTTCACTTAGAATGTTACTGTACGATGTTCCAAAGGCATTAAGTAAACAGTTTGATGTCTTCGTGGGATCTGAGGAACATTTTTAGTTTATTAGCAGCATTGTGAAATTGTCTTTTTCAAGTCACTTTGGCCTCAGATAAAGTTTAAGTGGAGCTGAGGAGGACTGAAACCCATCCTTCCCAATGATTTATCTTCGTGTTGTGTTTTCCTTCCCCTTCAGTTACTTCTTCATCTTTCTCCTTACTTACCTACATCTCTCCTCTGATGTCTTCTGAATTTCTGGGCACACTGCTCAGATTTCAGTCTCCACAAGAACTACAAAAACTACAAAGCCATGCAGTGCTGAGCTGCCTTTTTAAACAAACAAACAAAAAAAAGATCATTTTTTAAATCTCTCATTAAAAACGTGAGGAGTGGCTTTATCTTAATACAGAAAAAAAGAGAAACATTCGCTTTGTTTTTTCATTTTTAGAATCAAATGGTGCGGTCAAAGAGTTTTCTCAAAAAAATGTCATTTACGGAGATGATTCACCCCAGTGTTTGGTAGTGGGAAGAATTCTAAGCCACGGCCCTGAATATTCCACTTTTAAAGGAGGCTGGAGATTTGAGGAAGATACTCAGGTGCAAAGAAATCAAGGCTATATCAGGCAAAGGACAGTATGTCATCAAGGAGCCCTGTCTCAGCACACGAGTATCAATCCTGTGGAGAGGCCCCATGGATGTCATGAATGTGGGAAGACTTTCAGTCGGCGGTTTTCCCTGGTGCTACATCAGAGAACTCATACTGGAGAGAAACCCTACATATGTAAGGAATGTGGCAAAACCTTTAGCCAGATCTCAAACCTTGTGAAACATCAGATGATACATACTGGAAAGAAACCCCATGAGTGTAAGGACTGTAATAAAACATTCAGTTACCTCTCATTCCTCATTGAACACCAGAGAACTCATACCGGGGAGAAACCCTATGAATGTACTGAATGTGGAAAGGCCTTTAGCCGTGCCTCAAACCTCACTCGACATCAGAGAATTCACATAGGAAAGAAGCAGTATGTATGTAGGAAATGTGGGAAGGCCTTTAGCAGTGGCTCAGAACTCATTCGCCATCAGATTACACATACTGGAGAGAAACCTTATGAATGCATTGAATGTGGGAAGTCATTTCGCCGTTCTTCACACCTTACTCGGCATCAGAGCATCCATACTACCAAAACCCCATACGAATGTAATGAGTGTCGGAAAGCCTTCCGTTGCCACTCATTCCTTATTAAACATCAGAGAATTCATGCTGGAGAAAAGCTCTATGAATGCAATGAATGTGGTAAAGTTTTCACATGGCATGCATCCCTTATGCAACATATGAAAATTCATACTGGAGAAAAGCCCTATGCGTGTACTGACTGTGATAAAACCTTTAGTCGGAGCTTTTCCCTCATTCTACATCAGATAACTCACACTGGGGAAAAGCCCTATGTATGTAAAGTCTGCAATAAATCCTTCAGCTGGAGCTCAAACCTTGCCAAACATCAGAGAACACACACTCTAGAGAACCCCTATGAATATGAGAATTCATTTAATTATCACCCATTCCTTACTGAACACAAAGAAATTCACACTATAGAGAAAACATAAAAATGTGGATTAAGAAAAAACGGTTAATGCCTTACTTTGACTTCAAAGGGTTCTTGGAAAGAAGCCTTATGTGAATATGTGGAATGTGAAGAAAAATGGGTCATACTTGATTCAACATCCTGGAGACAAAATAACTCAGGAGTATGTGGGATAACTATTAATAGCTTTGCATTCTTTTTTGTAATATCAGAAGATGAAATCAGACAGTACTGAGAAGACTTCATCTGGTGGGATTCCCTTACTCTACATTTGTAACTTCCTACCAGACAAGGATACGTGGCCAGTAAATGTGGGAAAGCTTTTAATTAGAAATTGGTCCTAATCCCCTGCATCTGTTGCCTCAAACAAGACAGAATATGTGGGTAAGATTGCACTTTTTCCTGGACATCAGAAAATTCATAATGAAGCAAAGTCTTGCAAACACAATGATGTGGGAACGTTTTTTGTACCATGCAATATTTATTAAGTATTAAAATACTCTTCTAAAAAGAAAAACGCAACCCTCTAAATGAACTGAATATAGGGTGATTTTCTGCATTATTTCAAAACTACAGAATTATACTGAGGGGAAAACTACCATTGTAATGAGCATGGCAAAAATCTTAAGGGTTCTGAGAAGTCATACTGGAGGGAATCTGGGAGGTTTTTTGTTTTTTTGGGGTGGGGTCACTTTTGGTTTAAAGCAAATTCAAAAAGCTATGAATAAATATTTTGTTTTCTAGTTAATTGATCTGATACTTGCAGAGTTTTTCCACAGCATTTGTGATTCTGAAAATGCAACTATCACAATATTGACATCCCTAAGAGCAGTGTGCTTCTGTAGAAACATACATGATTACAGAAACATTTTTAGTTTATTATGACTTTAACTGTGAGACAGAATTTAGATTTAAGATTATGCTAACTCATGTTTATCCTTGAATATGACTAGACCTGTTTTAGTCTGAAGAAATGTACATAAGGTATGTCACAGGAAAATGCCAACGTAGTTTTTCCTCTTCTGTTCCATTTGCAGTAGGAACATTTCCTTTGTAAGCACGTATTTGTCAAAATAAATCAGATGATGTTTTCACTCTCCATGTACACCTTGTCCATTTTTTAATGTCCCAGTTAAAGGTGTATCTTATCTTTCAAGAATCTGTCTGCCTCCTTTTAAGAACTTACCTTGCATTTCATTTAGACAATATGCAATTTAGCACTTGAATAAGTGCCTTATTTAAGTCTATTTTTTTCATGTATGGGCAAATCTTTCACGAAGTGAGAGGCTGGCATTTTTCTTTCCTACTAATTGTGACATACATAACATAGCTGCTGCCTAATAATTTTCTCAAAGCCTTAATCTCTACCAGAACAACTCTGTTGTCCAAATCCTCCCTTTCCTTTCATGTGCTTGGCATTACTACTTTCCCCAGCGCTAGGGGGGTCTTTGGTGAACAAAAATGTATTTATCATTTCAGAGGTTTGTAACATTCAGAGACGTGGCCCTAGACTCGTCTCAGAGGAATGGGGCTGATTGGACCCTGGGCAGAAGTTGTATGGGAGCATAATGACTGAGAACTATGGGAACCTCATCCAAGGTTACTATTCCTCCAAATTTAGAACCTTAATTTAGGTATCTTTCCTTTCTCTTTAGGAAATAGGGAGTGGGCTTTAAATTCCCTGCCTGGATTCCTTCATATTCTTGGGGAAATAAATGAAAATTGGCAGAAGTGTGAAGTGGCTTGCATTCTGCCTTCTGCTTTTGCTGGTCTTGTAATAGCCTTTCCTCCTTTATATTAAGAGATTGGGTCTGGATCTAGAAAGAACCATAATATTTTGAAGTATCTATTTTTTCCCTCTTGTAAGCAGGACTCTCTGTTTCTAAATCAAATGTGACCTCCTTACTGAAGCAAGGGAAAGAGTCAAAGAATGATGGAGAAAAAATGATAAGAGGCCTCTGATCAGGTAAGTGTGGGGCAATCAGGCAGGGAGTAAGTGCCTCTGCAGGTAGTAGTCCAGCTTACCAAATTGCCTGAGTCATTCTCTCAAAAATAATAATCTTCCCATAAAATTCCTTTTGTGCAGCATCATCCTGAACTATGTAACTCATCCTAAAGGTACTCTCAGTAAGATGTGGTTAAGATATTTCAGAAAATAAGAATTATGCTGTTACATTTAATTAAATTAAAATACAGATAACTTCTGGATTATACAATAAGAGATGTCAAGACACTACAAAGTAAGAAAGAAAATGAATAGTAAGTGGATATTCTGTTAATACAATATTTTATTTGTCATAGCAAGAAGGTACTAGCAAGGTTCATAGTTGCTTTCTTTCTCAATTTTAGCACAGAAATCTGTTATATCTTTTCATATTTAACATAATCGCTTTTTATAAGCTGTACTGCTTTCCAGTGGTAGCAGAAAACCAAAAAAAAAAAAAAAAAAAAAAAAAATTGACTGGTTTTCAAGGAGAAATTCTGCAAAAATAGCCAGACATACTAAGATATAACAGAAAACAGTAGGAGAAAAGTTTATGTATGGTGTTGCACTTTAGATTACTTGTAGAACATAGTATTATTTCAGTTCCTATTTGTATGGTTGAGACAGAGAAACAATGGTGATATAGTGTGACCATCTCAATACCCCTGAAGGGGTAAACCTCCAGCTTGAACTTTCTTTCTTTCTTCCTTGTTTTTTTTTTTTTTTAGAGAGTGAGCAAGGGAAGGGGAGAGGGAGAGAGAATCCTAAGCAGGCTCCATGCCCAGTGCAGAGCTCAATGAAGGGCTCAATGTGGGGCTCCATCCCGCAATCTTGGGATCATGACCTGAGCTGAAATCAAGAATTGGGTGCTTAACTGACTGAGTCAACCAGGTGATCCCTAGCTAGCTAAAGCATTAAAAAAAATTTTTTTTTAATGTTTTATTTATTTCTGAGAGAGAGAGAGACTGCGTGAGCAGGGGAGGGTCAGAGCAAGAAGGAGACACAGAATCTGAAACAGGCTCCAGGCTCTGAGCTGGCTGTCAGCACAGAGCCCGATGTGGGGCTTGAACCCACAAACCATGAGATCATGACCTGAGCTGAAGTCAGACACTTAACCGACTGAGCCACCCAGGCACCCCTAAAGCATTTTGATCTATGTAGTAGTTTGTATTGCAGACACAATTTTCTTAGGTTTGCATATTCAAGATGTGTAAAATTTAGTGAAGCATGGTCAGGAATGCAACCATTATTTAAACTGAGACACCTACAGTATTTTCATTACTCTGTTGTCATTTATTCAATTATCCATACATTGTAAAGGCAGCATACTCTAAATGAGTAGGTCTGTCCTTTATAGAAGAGCACACTGGGTTGTCATTCACGTAGCACATGGAATCTTCTGGAATATAGCTCTGTATATAACTACTGTGGGAAATCTTCCTGAAATGACTTTACCTTCAGAATAATTTTATTGTATACAGTCAGGCTAGGTCTACAGCTGAATGTCCACATCTGGCGCACTGCTAGATGCAGCTGTCATGCTGCTGGGAGTGTAGAATGTGCAGCAGTTTTTACTATTATCTCTTCAAATGAATGTGATGTTGTTACTGTCATGTTGGATTCAACTGCTACTTACAATGTTTTCAACAAGTCTACTCTCAAATAGGATGAAGTATTGTGGCAGCAACCAGATAAAGCAGATAAAATACATGGGCGCCTGGGTGACTCAGTCGGTTAAGCATCCGACTTTGGCTCGGGTCATGATCTCGCGGTTCTTGGGTTCGAGCCCCACGTCGGGCTCTGTGCTGACAGATAGCTCAGAGCCTGGAGCCTGTTTCAGATTCTGTGTCTCCCTCTCTCTCTGTCCTTCCCCTGCTCGCTTGCTCTCTCAGAAATAAATAAAACATTTAAAAAATAAAGCAGATAAAATACGAATATATTTTTAGTAGTTTTTTTAATGCTTATTTTTTAAAGAGAGAGTGCGTGAACTGGGGAGGGGCAGAGTGAGAGAGAGAGAGAGAGAGAGAGAATCCCAATTAGGCTCCAAGCTATCAATACAGAGCCCAACGCGGGGCTTGAACCCACAAACCGTGAGATCATGACCGAAGTCAGATGCTTAATTGACTGAGCCTAGGCACCCCTTTAGCAGTTTTTTTTTTTAAAATGTGTATTTATTTGAGAGTGTGAGCATGGGAGGGGCACAGAGAAAGAGAGAATCCCAAGCAGGTTTTGTGCTCTCAACATGGAGACCGACATCGGGCTTGATCCCGCCAAATGTGAGATCATGACCTGAGCTGAAATCAAAAGTCAGATACTCATCCGACCAAGCCACCCAGGTGCCACCCAAAATATTTTTAAAGGCACATTTGAACTGTGGAAGTAATGATGACTAGATGGACCAAAATTCCAGAGAGAAATCACAAATTTTTGTGGTCATTTGAAGGGGGCGTGGCAGATTAGCAACTTGAGAAGCTTCAAATATGCAGCTAGTTCTCCTGTGACATTTGCTGAGTTTTAGGGCTGTGTAGGGCCTGGGGACCTAGTATAAAAGCTTCTGAAAGAGTGCAGTTATCTGCAGTGTCTGAGGTACTTAGGAATGAAAAGCGTCGTAGAGAAAGGTGACTGCCCAAAATAAGTAGCCAGTCTCCTCCTCAAGCCTTCTATCAAAATTTGAAGCTGCATGAGGTAGGAGGTTGAGGAGACTAGGACCTACTGAGCCCTCAGATTTAAACGCTTTAGGAGAGTGCTGCCTGAAATACAAAGGCTAAACAGGGGTAACATGAGGCTTATTTAAAATTCACTGTGGCTCTGACCCAGCTCAAACTTAAGGAACTGAAGTGATTAGCCCCTCAGACTAACAGAGGAAAGGAGAAACTCTCTGGTAGAGGGTAATGTAACCTGGAGCACACACAAATATTTACCAGGCATATGAGGGACAGGATCATATATAGACCTGCTTCATTGTATTGTGCTTTGCAGATACTGCCCTTTTAAAAAAAAAAAAAAAGTTGTTTTTTTTTTCTTTTAAAAACAAACCAGGTTTGTGGCAACCCTGTGTTGATCAAGTCTATTTGTGCCATTTTTCCCACTTTATGTCTCTGTGTCACATTTTGGTGATTCTCATATTTCTTTTTCATTAATATTATATTGAATTGCTGCAATCTCATGATAAAATTTTAACAGATGAGGAGTTGCTTCTTATGGATGAGGAAAGAAAGTGGTTCGTTGAGACGGGATCTAGTCTTGATGAAGATGTCATGAAGACTGCTGAAATGACAAAGGATTTAAATTGTTACATAGTTGACAAAGCAATGGCAGGACTTGAGAGGACTGACTCTAATTTTGAAGGAAATTCTACTGTGGGTATAATGCTATCAAACAGCATCATATGCTAAAGAGAAATCATTCATGAAAGGAAGAGTCAGTTGATGGGCCAAACTTCATTATCTTAACGAAATTGCCTCAGCCACCCCAGCCTTCAGGAAGGACCACCCTGATCAGTCAGCAGCCATCAACAGCGAGGCAAGACCCTCCACCAGCAAAAGAGATCATGACTCACTGAAGGCCCAAGTGATGGTTAGCATTTTTTTTAGCAATAAAGTATTTTAAAAATTAAGATTTGTCTTTTTTTTTTTTTTTTTTTTTTTTTTTTTTAGAAATAACAGTATTCAACACTTAATAGACTGTAGTAAAGGTTAAACACAGCATATCCATTGGGAAACAAAAAGATCATTTAACTTGCTTTATTGTGCTATTTGCTTTACTGCACTGGTCTGAAACTGAACCCATGGTATCTCTGAGTTGTGCCTGTAATCTATGAGAGACAGAACAGGTAAGAGAAGCAGACATACAGGTGCCTAGATATTAGGGTGTTTAGACAAGGATTTTGAGGGAAGTATGGTTAAGATGTTAAAATACAGGAAAAGGGGGAAGAAAACACAATTTCAGCTAGTAAGGAGAATCGGCTAACAGTCCAGTGGTGGCTCTAGAACGGAAAATACAATATCTGAAATTAAGAATTGAGTAGATGGACTTAGCACAAAATTAAACAGAACTAAAGATAGTAGACTGGAACGTGAAGAGCGAAAATACTGAACCAGAGATGGGGGACGGGAGGAGAGAGGAAACGTATGCCAGGGCCTGAGGGAGGACTTTGGTTCTTGTGGTCAGACAAGACTGAAGGCCGACTTCCTTTCCTGAC